TCTGGACTCTGGTTTCCATCCACTTGAAACCACGAACTGCTCCTCCCTGGCACAGCTAAGGCTCTGGCAATGCCCAGGCTTGCATGGCGGCTGTCACTTCCCCATCACAGAGGCTCACAGTCCTGTGCAGAGCACGCCTGGAGTCAAATGACACACCTTTTAACACTTACCTGAACACGTTTGCGTCTCTCTTCTAAAAAGGAGAGGTATTTAGGGGCAACTTTAAGGTGTCTGATTAAACTCTCCTGCAAAGTACTGATACAATTTGGAAGAAAACCACCCGTTTCCATGGAAAACTGAAGGACATCTGCTACCTAATATATGAAACAGAAAACAATTAACCCCACAACAACAACAAATGAAAATTAAGCAACACACAGAAAACTAGCTCATGTCAGAAATACTCTGGGAGACTTACCTGTAAGGGCTGGGATGTAGCTCTGCAGGTACCATGCTTGCCTAGCATGCCCCAGGCCCTGGGCTCCACCCCAGCAAAAACTAGACTTTCTGGTACAAGCCTGTAACTCCAGTACTTGGGAGGCAGAGGCAAGAGGATCATCATCTAGGACATGGGGAATTGGAGGCCAGCCTGGACTACATGAGATGAGAAAGAGACAGAAACATAGAGAGAGAGATGTTTAAATTCCATCTGCCCTGAGGTCATGCCACGGATGCCATAGGTAAATTTAAAGCAGGTCAGTCAACTTATTTTGAAAATAATCAAGCTAGGAGATAACACAGCTCTGCATTGTCTATTTTCTTCTCTCTTTTTGTTATTACACTTTGGTGCCTTTGGAGAATGGGAAAAAAGAATTTAAGGTTTTTTTTTCTTCAGAACAGAAGAAACACGTTTCTGTAACATTCAGCAAGGATGAAGTAGGCAGGACAAAGGCAGCGGAGTTAGCTGCTCAAGAACTGTGTTTCTTACTTAACAGCCACTCTGGCAACATTTTGGTAAGGAACACGAAAAAAATTAAGAATTGCTATATTGGGTTGGGGAAACAGCTCAGTGAGCAAAACATGTGCCATGGATGTGTGAGAATCTGAATCAGATCCCTAGAATCCACATAAAGCAAGACTTGGCAGATCGGATTCCTATCTGAATCCCAGTGCTCGCTCCTAGGGCAAGAGAGGAGGCAGCGACAGGAGGCTTCCCCAAAGCTCACAGGCCATCTAGCCTGGTGTATGCAGCAGTGAACAGCAAGAGACCGTTGCAAAAGAGAAAGAAGGACCCATGCCCAAGGTTGTCTCCTGCCCTCCACATGTGCACACGGCCCCTTGGTGCCTGCACCCACATGTGCATGCACACGTATCACAAATATAGAGATTTTAAAAACTGAAAGAATAATTTTTCTGGATGCCACAGGTTGAATAATGACTGTCTATGCCTATGCTGGGTATGGTGGAGCTTGCCAGTAATCCCAGTGTTTGGGAGGCAGAGGCAGAGAATTGGGGACTTCAAGGTCATCCTCAGTTTGAGACTAGTCTGGGTAACATGAGACCCTGTCTTTAAACAGACAAAAAAAAATCTATTTCTTAATCCCTAGAATCTGATTAAGGTTCTTAAGATGAATTATCCTAAATCATTTGAGTAGGTCCTAAATAAAATCAAATGTTTTGCTCTGAGACAGGGTCTTAAAATGTAGCCCAAGCTGGCTTAGAACTACGTAACTGAGGCTGGCTTGGCAGGGTGGCCCCCTCACTTCAGTTCCCCCAGTGTCGGAACTGTGGGCGTGTGTTGTCATACCCGGCTCACATGGGCTCTTTTAAAGTCACAGATGGAGAGTGAACAAAAGTGGACCAGAGGGGAAGGTGACAGGAGCAGATGACAGGGTATTTTTACTTTCCATCTGGGTGGGGCACATGCATGCTGTCTCACACTTGTGAAGGCCACAAGACAACTTGCGGGAGCTGCTTCTCTCCTTTTATCATATGAGTTGTAGGAACTGTGCTCAGGACTGGCAGCAAATGCCTTCATCTGGTAAGACAGCTTGTCAGCCCTACTTTTTCTTTATTTTCTCCTTCCTTCTTTTTTTTATTTTTATTTTTTATCAGCTTGATACAGTACAAATTCTTTTTTATTCTTTTTTTTTTTTTTTTTTGGTTTTTCGAGACAGGGTTTCTCTGTGTAGCTTTGCACCTTTTTCCTGGAACTCACTTGGTAGCCCAGGCTGGCCTCTACAAATTCTTATGCTAATAGTGAAATGTTTCACTGAAGCTTGCCCAGTAATTGAGTAAAACCAAAACTTATTATAAGCCACAGTCATCCTAGGGTCCCCCCTGCTATGTAGCCTCCCTGGTTCTGTGGGTTGCAGTCTGATTGTTCTTTGCTTTATATCTAGAATCCACTTATGAGTGAGTACATACCATGTTTGTCCTTCTGAGTCTGCGTTACCTCACTCAGGATGATATTTTCTAGTTCCATCCATTTGCCTGCAAATTTCATGCTGTCATTGTTTTTCTCTGCTGAGTAATACTCCATTGTGTATATGTACCACATTTTCTTTATCCATTCTTCAGTTGACGGGCATCTAGGTTGTTTCCAGGTTCTGGCTATTACAAATAATGCTGCTATGAACATAGTTGAGCATGTATCTCTGTGGTATGATTGAGCATTCCTTGGGTATATGGCCAAGAGTGGTATGGCTGGGTCTTGAGGTAGATTGATTCCCAATTTTCTGAGAAGCCGCCCTACTGATTTCCACAGTGGTTGTACAAGTTTGCATTCCCACCAACAGTGGAGGAGTGTTCCCTTTGCTCTGCATCCTCTCCAACATAGACTGTCATTAGTGTTTTTGATCATAGCCATTCTGACAGGTATATGGTGGTATCTCAGAGTCGTTTTGATTTGCATTTCTCTGATAACTAAGGATGTTGAGCATTTCCTTAAATGTCTTTCAGCCATTTGAGATTCTTCTTTTGTGAATTCTGTTTAGCTCTTTAGCCCATTTTTTAATTGGATTGTTCAGTATTTTGATGTCTAGTTTCTTGAGTTCTTTATATATTCTGGAGATCAGCCCTCTGTCAGATGTGGGGTTGGTGAAAGTCTTTTCCCATTCTGTAGGCTGTCTTTTGACCATGTCTTTTGCCCTACAAAAGCTTCTCAGTTTCAGGAGGTCCCATTTATTAATTGTTGTTCTCTGTGTCTGTGCTACTGGTGTTATATTTAGGAAGTGGTCTCTGGTGTCAATGCGTTCAAGAGTACTTCCTACTTTCTCTTCTATCGAGTTCAGTGTAACTGGATTTATGTTGAGGTCTTTGATCCACTTAGACTTGAGTTCTGTCCATGGTGACAGATAGGGATCTATTTGTAATCTTTTACATGTTGACATCCAGTTATGCCAGCACCATTTGTTGAAGACACTTTCTTTTTTCCATTGTATAGTTTTGGCTTCCTTGTCAAAACTATACAATGTTTTGGGTTTTTTGTTTTGTTTTGTTTTTGGTTTTTTGTGACAGGGTTTTCTGTGTAGATCCAGCTATCCTGGAACTCACTCTGTAGACCAGGCTGGCCTCCAACTCACAGAGATCTGCCTCCCTCTGCCTCTCAAGTGCTGGCATTAAAGGTGTGCACCACTATGCCCGGCTCCTACTTTATCCTTTTACCTTTGTTTTCTAAGAATTATTTTTTCAGAGATAGGATCTTACTTAGTAACCCTGACTCTCCTGGAACTCACTCTATAGACCAGTCTGGCCTCAAACTCCGAGATCCACCTGCCTCTGTTTCCTAAGCAGTGGGATTAAGGGCAATCAACATTCATAGCCTGAGGCTTATTTTTAATTTTTAAAAGATGAATCTTTTTATTTCATGTGTATGAGCGTTCCCCCCCCCCCGCCATGTATGTATGTATGAGCACTAAGTGTATGCCTGTTGCCTGAGGAGGCCAGAAGAGGGCACCAGACCCTCTGGAACTGGAATTATGGAGCACTGTAAGCCACTATGTGGTTGCTAGGAATCAAACTCATGTCCTCTGGAAGAGAAGCATGTGCTCTTAACCCGAGTCACCTCTCATACTCTTTATGTATTTGTACATGTCTATGTTACTGCATGCATATGTGTGTACAGATGTTTGCAACTGTGTGTGCAAGCGAAGACCAGAAGAGGGCAGTGGAGTGTCTTCCATCACTCTGCCTAGTCTTCTGAGACAGGGTCTCTTTCTGAACCTGGGGCTTGCGGTTTCTCAGCTAGGCTGGGAGTCAGCAAGCTGCAGTGAGCTTGCTGTCTCTGCCTCCCTCAGAGCTGGCATTACAGGTGTTTACGGGGACACTCAGCTTGTTATGTGGGTGCTGGGACCCTAATATGACCCTCACCATTACACAGCAAGCATTTTTAACTGATGAACCATTTATCCAGCATTGCACACATACATACACACACACACACTTTTTTTTTTTTTTAAGTTTTTGAGACAGGGCCTTATGTGGTCCAGGCTGGCCTTGAACACTAGGTAGCTGAGACTGGCCTTGAAATCCCAAATCTTCTTGCTTCCTATCAACAGAATGACATACTCTGAAGAGGGAGAAAGGAGTCACAAAACAATGAATGTGCGTGGCCTCAAGCTACTGAGAAAGGCAGTGGAGCCCCGAGGGGAAAACTCAGTAGTTAGGGTCGTCCTTGGCTACAGAGTTTGAGGTCAGGGCTACATGAGTCTCGTCTCAAAAACAATCAAAGCCCCGCTAAATATGCTGGGTTTGGTAGAGCAAGCCCATGATGCCAGCACTGCCCATGATGCCAGCACTGCCCA